TTCGATTAGCAAATACATTGACAAATTTTGTTTTTGATAAAATTCGAAGGATTTGAAATTTATGGAAAATTTTTCTACTTGTCGAATTTTGTAAATTGTAATTTGTAATTTGTAATTGTCTGGATAAAAAATTTGCTAATTTACTTTTTGACACAATTTCTATGTAGCACTTTTATTAATATTTAATTTTCAATTGAAATTTATCAAAGTTTTACTCGCTGAATTTTTAAAAATTTTTCAGTTAGATTAAAAAGTTGTCAATTTTTATCTTCGAGTTATATTTTATTTAATTTTTTTTTAATATTCAATTTATGATTCGAAATTTAGCTGAAAGTTTTACTTGTAGAATTTTGTAAATATTTTACATCCAGATTTAAAAGTTGTCAATTTTTTCCTTTTGTTTCTTATTTCTTTTTATCAATTTTTCCCCTTAATATCCAATTTTCAAATTGGAATTTATCAAAAAATAATTTAAATAAGTTTTTATTTTCTTTCTATCAATCTTTTTCTTGAATATCGAATTTTCAATTTGGAATTTATCAAAAAATAATTTAAATAAGTTTTTATTTTCTTTCCATCAATCTTTTTCTTTAATATCGAATTTTCAATTTGGAATTTATCAAAAAATAATTTAAATAAGTTTTTAATTACTTTCTGTCAATTTTTTTAATATCCAATTTACAATTTAGAATTTCTTAACAAAACTACCACAAAAATATAAATAAAATTTTTACTTAAGAATTTTGTAAATTTTTTAAATTCACTTTAAAAAAATTAGCAAATTTTACATTTGAGTTTTACTTCTTAATATCGAATTTTATTTTTATTATCTAATTTTCAATTTGATATATTAATAATTGTAATTTATATTTGAGAAAAAAAAATTTTTTCTCCAAATTGCAAATTTTTTTTTGCATTTTTTCCAATAAATTTATCAATGACACATCGAACGTTGCCTCAGAATGTAAACTTTAATCGAAGGTACAGTGAACTCGAGAATGAAGGTCCTGGCTCAATGCCAGGAACATTTCCCTTCGCCATATATCACGTTTTACATTTAATAATTCTTCATTATGATCACGATAATACTATGGGGCCACTTAAATCATACAAGAAATTATCATTTTCGCAAAAAAAAAATTCATTTTTCCCTCCTCAACTATTTTTTTCCTTCGACAAAAGTTTAATTTCTTTCTTGCAAAATTTTTATTCTTCATATTCTCAAAGGAATTTCTAATTATTGATAGACTACCTACAAAACAAAAAATATTTCTCAAATATAAATTTTTGTGAAAATAATTTAATAAACATTTTTTTGATTCTATAATCGACAAATTAATAGAATTTTTTCGATTCTATAGTTGAGCAAGAATAATAAAATTTGTTCGATTCTCTAAACGCAAAAATTTGAATTAAAAAAGAAAACGAATCAAAATATTTCTAAAAAACAGAAAGTACTTAAAAAATAAACATTTTTTTGAAAAAAAATTTGAAAAAAACCTAATTTTCAGAAATGGAAAAAGTTTTGCAAGTATTTATATTCACAAAATTCTTTTTATCTATTTGTATCTATGTAATAGTTGTTATAATAATAATAATAATAATAATAATAAAAGGAGAAAGACAACGAAGAAATAAAAAATGAAAAACTATTCGAAAATGGTCCACACAAAAAGAGCAATAAAAATAAGTGCCCGGAAAATAAAAATCCAAGAGAATTGAAGTAGTTTTAAAGTCAAAAAGCAAGAAGAGTATGCGATAGACTTAAAGTTGATATCTTAGGGTGGTTTCGTGAAATGAAAGTGCCTGCAACTGATTTCTCACTTTCAGTCCTCGGCAGAAGTACACGGAAAGTGTTATATTTCTCCGCCCTCAAAAAAGAAAAGCACTCGCCATAAAAAATAACTAATAAACACTCTTGAAAAAAACAAAGCCAAGAATAAAAAAAACTACCAATTTTTTACAAAACTATTTTTTTTGGTAAAAAAAAATAAATTTTCTATTAGAAAATTAAAAAAAAAAATGTGACAAGTTCTGCAAAAAAAAAAAAAAAATGAAAATCGAAACGCGATGGCAGTGCCGGTTAAATAAAATTAAAAAAAGATCGGGAAAAAAAGGAAAAGAAATTTTTCTTCTCGACAATGAAAATGTCTCCAGTGAATCGTGAATTTGATTTGGACGATAATAAAGTTATATATACATTAGAGAGTCAATATGTTAAGTTTGTCGCGAGGGACTTTTCTTGAGCAAAGAAGGACTGTGTGTGGATCAGTTCCAGTGCAGTCGCACTAATTAATCTCAGGCGCTAACGAGCACTCTGGGATCGGTTTGGTGGTCGGTGGTGGTGATGAGCCAGAACATTTTGCTTAACGATACTCTCGAGAGATCGTCGATCGATAGTCCAGTGCGGTGATAAAAAAAAGGAAATAAGACGAAGAAGAGAGGGGAAAAAAGGGACAAGGCAGAGGGAAAATAGAAGAAAAAGGGAAAATAAAGAAGAAATAGAAGAAGGAGAAGAAAAAGGAAAAAAAGAAGTAAAAGGACAAGAAAAAGAGAAGGAAAAGAAAGAAGAAGAAGAAAAAGGAAAAAAAGAAGTAAAAGGAAAAGAAAGAAGAAGAAGAAAAAGGGAAAAAGAAGGAAAAGAAAAAGAACAAGAAGAAGAAATCAAAAAAGGAAAGGAAGAGCAAGAAGAAAACGAGACAAGAAAAGTTTGTGATAAAGTGTCGGGACATAAGTTAAACGATCAAAAAGAAGAATTGTCCATCAAAGGCTGATTCGATGTCAAGAAAGTAGATCACAAAAAAAAGGACAAAAGAGCAAAAGATCTCTTTTACTTTTCTAAAAAAAAAGAGAAAATAAAAATAGAAAAGCAATCGAGAAACGGAAAAGTGAAGAAGAAACAGAAAAGTTAGGGGAAAAATTGAAAAGTGAGGGAAAAACAAACAGAAAAGTAAAAAAAAAACAGTAAAGTGAAGAAGAAAGAGAAAAGTGACGAAAAAACAGAAAAGTACAAAATCAAATAGAACAGTAAGAGAAAAGTAAAAAAACCAAAGAAAAAGAGTCAAAAAGAAAGGGAAAAGCAGAACAGAAATAGACGAAAAATATAAAAAGTAAGGAAATATAAATAGAAAAAGAAAAGAAGACAAAGACAAAGAAAAAGAAGAAGAAGAAAAAAGAGAAAAAAAAGAAGCAAAAACCAGGCATGAAATAGAAGGAAAGAATAAAATAGAAAAAGAAGCCTAAATTAATAGAGAAAGGGAAGAAAATACAGAAAAGAAGACAAGAAATTGTAGAGAAAAAGAAAACAGAAATAAAATAGAAGAAAAGAAGCACAAATTAGTCGAAAAATAAAGAAAGAAAATAGAGAAAAGCAGAAGAGAGAAAGAAAAGAGAAGAAAATAGAAAAAAGAAGACGAGAAATAGAACAACAAAAACGAAAAGTGGATAAATAGAGCATAGAAGATAAAAAATAGAAGACAAACCAAAAAGTAAGAAAATAAAGCAAAAGAAGACGAGAAAAAGAAGAAAAGAAGCGAAAAGTGAAAAAAGACGAGAAATAAAAGAAAAGAAGCGAAAAGTGAAAAAATAGAGCAAAAAAGACAAGAAATATAAGTAAAAAACAAAAAGTGAAAAAATAGGGAAAAAATAAAACTCAAAAAGAAATTAAAAACATAAAAGAGCAAGAGAGTGAGGGAGAGAGAGAAAGACAAGTGTAACAAGGGTTGACCAAGAGAGGTGTTAAATTGAAGGCTATCGATGTTCATGTTGGTGACCCTAAAAGACAGTTATTACCCTAAAAGGGGTTTGTCATGTTGATACGTGTAGCAGGAAGTTAAGTGTCGACACGACGCGTCTCACATTTCGCGTGACCGACAAAAAAAAGCCTACCTCAACTAAAAAACAACCCCTAATAGAAAATTTCACTTGAAAAAAGAGAAAAAAAATATTTATATCGAGAGAAAAAAAAATCTCAAAAATAGAAAATATTCATCACTCATAGAAAGTAGTTAGCAAAAAAAATAGACAAAAAATCTAAATCAAATAAAAATCCAACATCCAAACTCCAAATAATATTAAAGTCCTAAATTGAAAATAAAATCGAAAAATTAAAATTCCAAATTGGAATTTTCAAAACTAAATTCCAAAATTGAATTGAAAAAACCAAATTGAAATCGGAAAATTAAAAATCCAATTAAAATTTGAAATCACAAAATTCAAGTTCCAAATTGATTTAAACCCCAAATTAGAATCGAAACTTGAAATTAAAAGTTGAAACAAAATTCTAAACCAGAAAGAAAATAGAAAAAAAATATTTCCAATAAAAAAGGAAATAAATTAGAAACAAAACGAAAATTTTTTCTTTAAAATTCCACGAAAAGAGAATAAATTAGAAACGCCATTTTTTTTTTTTTGTAGTGAAACTAAACGAATAAAATTACATCAAGTTTCTCAAAAATTAGGAAATATAAAACCACAACTAGGAATGTGATAAGAAATTAAAAGAAAAAAAATTTTATCAAGAAGATAAAAAAGAAATTAAAAGGAAAAAAAATTTATCAAGAAGATCAAAAAAATAATCGAAAGATAGAATAACAAAGAGGAAAAAATTATCCGAAAGATAAGAAAAAAAGAAGAAGAGAAATTATCCCAACGATAAGAATCAGACAGAAACAAAAATTAAAATATGCAAAGTACAAGAAAACAAAAAATAAAAATTCGTACAGTAGAAAATATTCAATACAGTAAGAGAAAAGAAGTGTAAAAGATACAAATACCGCAAAAAAAATAAATAAAAAAAAATAAAATAAAATAAAGACAAGAATAAAAAGGTAGAGATACAAGAGGCGGAAATAGTTACAAGAGAAAAATAGAAGGAGAGAACGTGACGGAGAGAAAAGGGAAAAAAATAGAAAGAGAAAAGTAGACAGAGAGAAAATTAATAAAATAGAAGGAGAAAAAGAGAGAGAAAATCTAGAGGAAAAGAGAGAGAAAAACGGGAGGAATAGAGAGAGGAAAAGAGAAAAATAGAGAGAAATAGAGAGAGAGAGAGAGGAAAAGAGAAAAAGCGAGAGAAATAGAAAGAGAAAGAGAGAGGAAAAGAGAAAAAAACGAAAAGAGTAGAAATAAGTACCCAGAGCATAACGAGAGATTCAACAGAAAATGAAAGAATAATAGAAAAATTGCAGCGACGTGTAATTAAGGGACGGGGGTGAAAAAAATACAAGTAAAAGAAAGTGAGAAAACAAAAGGTAAACTTATTAAGAGACAAAAGACATTATGAGCGAAACAGTGGAAGAGCAAGTGAAGTGAGTTTAAAGATTAGAGATTATTGTAGGGAGCGAGAGAGAGAGAGAGAGTGAGAGTGTGAAACAACAAGGAATGGTGTAAGAAAAGAGAGTGAAAGACAGCAATTGAGGCGATTAGCTGGCGATGGCATGAGGACATTAGTGAGGAGCTTCGGGCCCTGCGAGGAGGAGGATGAGGATGGTGGTGGGCGTGATGGTGCTTGGCCAGCTACTGACGAGAATCCTGCTCGCAGCACACACAGGCGATCGTCTTGCGGCGGCTCGCAAAATTCTTCGCGATGTGCCTCTAATCGATGGGTAAGCTAAAATATTACTATCTTTCTTTTTACAAAAAAAAATAAATAAATAAATAAACCAATTTCCCTTTAATTCAATATATTGAATATTCTATTGGAGCATTGGTAATATTTATTTGGATTATTCCATTGGAATATTGGAAATATTTATTTCGAATATTCCATTAAATATTCCTTTGGAATATTGGAAATATTTATTTCGAATATTCCATTGAATATTCCTTTGGAATATTGGATATATTTATTTCGAATATTCCATTGAAACATTTGGAATATTTCTTTGGAATATTCCATCCACTGTCTAGGAATGTTAAAATATCAGGCCTTTGCAATATTCCTTTGAAATAATGTAGGAATATTGTAAATGGAATACAGTTGGAATATTTAATTAGAATATTTAATTCACATTCTTATAATATTTTATTGGAGCACTGTGAATATTCCAACCACACTTTAGGAATATACAGAAAAGGTATGAAGGAATATTCCATAAGAATAATACTTTTTGAATTAACAACTCTTTAGATTCAATATATAAATCGATGAATTTAGATAAAATTCACGAAAATTGATTAATATTTCATCAATAATACAAATAAAAAAATATTTTTACCAAATTTCAATAGAATATTCCTAAAATATTCTAAATTCCTAAATTATTCTAAAAAGATATTCCTACATTATTCTAAAAGAATATTCCAAAGGTCGGAAATTGTAATATTCCTAAAATATGGATGGAGTATTTCAGAGCAATATTCACAGTTTTCCAATGAAATATTCCAGGAATGTGAATGGAATATTCCGTACTATTACGGATTAATCGAGAATTTCGACTTTCCTACAATTTCCTGTTCCTACCCTCTTCTTCCTTTTAACAAGTAAATTACGAATTAAAACCCTTCAATTTGGGTATTCTATTTACAAATTATAAATAACGAATTATTTCGGGTTTAATTGGCTATTCTATTTATAAATCACTAATTAACCAGTTCAATTATTGGCCGCAAGAATAGTTCCAATACAACACTGTGAAGAAAATAAATAAAAATATTACTGCAAATCACAAAAACGAATTATACTTTCGAACATTTTTTTGCAAAAGTATTAAAAATTCAGAGAGGAAATATTTTTAGGCTATCTTTAAGGAAATATTCCATTATTATTCTATTGGAATTTTAAAAGAATTTTAATAATAATGTAATAAGAAGACTTAAATACGAATTTTTTAGGTCTTTTTATTCTTAAATAATTTTTAAAAAGTTCTACCTTGAAAATGAGATGCAATATTCCAAAGGAATACTCCCAATGTGCTAATGGAATATTGCAGGAATGTGAATGGAATATTCGATGCTTTTGGAAGGAATTATACATAATACATTTTATATATAATTGTACCTAATTTTATTTTAATATTTTTCACATAATTTAAAAAGAAAAGTAAATAATAAATGTTTACGTAGTTTTCGAGATTTTAAAACATGCGCATAAACATGCGATTTGAAAATGCGATTCAAAACCGAGTTTAATCTTATTTTAGAAGCACAATCTCACTGTTGATCTCTCTTTGAATTGCAAAATCAAGTATGTAAATGCGCAACATTGCCAACTTTAGACAATAACTTTAACGAATATAGAATCGTTATATTTCTACGAGTTGCATATATTTATAAATATACATTCTTCCACATAATTTTCCCATAAAGATTTTAATGCCATTTAAATAATTCCAAACATTACCTACTTATAATTTTTAATTTCTGAGAGAAAATTTTAACACGGTTTTCCCTTTTTTTTATTCTGTTACTTTTAAATTTGAAATTCAATAGGCAAATTGAAAAATATTTTAATTTCCAAAATGTACTTAAAAATTACAAGCTAAAATTAAAATAAAAAAAATTTTAATTAAAAAAAATATGATTAGAAATACAAACTAAAATTGAAATTAAAAAAAAAATTGAAATATAAAATTAGAAACTAAAATTTAAATTAAAAAAATAAGGAAAAGAGTTTTTTCTACAGATAATAATTTTACTAGTTTGAAAAATTGATAAGGCTAAAACTAATAAAAAAGAGAAATAATTTTTTTTCTTTTTCAGTAATAATATTAAGTTTGTTTGAATTCTTTAATTGCATTTTTTGTTTTTTTATTTTATTTATTCAATGTAAAAAAAAATTTTTTCAACAAATATATTTTTTTAAAGTAAAAATATTTTTATTTACAGTAAAAAATTTATTTAAACTAAAAAAAATGTTTTCAAGTAATAAATACTTTTCTAAAGTAAAAATATATTTATTTAACTTTAAAATAAAAAATTTATTTAAACTAAAAAAATTTATTAAAAGTAAAAAAAAATTTTCTCAAAGTAATAATTTTTTTTCAAGTAATAAAATTCTTTGAAAGTAACAAAATTGTTTCAAATTAAAATTTTTTTTTAAACAAAGAAATAAAAAATTTTTTTATTTTCCCTCCATAAACGTTTAGAATTTAAAATGTATATATATTTATACATCATTTTCCAGACATTTAAACAAGACCTTTTTCTTGCTCATCATCTTAAAGAAGATGAGAGTGATATATAGAGGCGGGGGAGGGAGGGAGGGGTGATGAAAAATGGAGAAAAAAAAATATTAAATGATGGTATATAAGCTCGCGCTTCTTCAATATGCAAAGTATTGACTTTATCGCATTTTTATGATCGGAACCTTAAAGTATCCTTTTTGTATAATGAAGGCGCGGCAAACTTTAAGAGCTTATACTTTTCATGTAGCAATTTATCTACTAACGCTTAAGCAAGCAGACAGAATGTTGAAAACTTTTTCTTTGTTAAAATAAAAAAAAAGCTAAAGTGCATATATTTGTATGTCGGAGAGAAGCGCTGAAAATTATTTTAAATGCAATTATTATATCGTGTTCGTAATAAATTTTAATTATATAACAATGCTAGCATACATTTCATTTTTAATTAAAGCTCTCAAGTGCTCTTTCTCTCTCTCTCTCTCTCTCTTGTATTCTTATATTTATTCAAGGTTTTATTCTCCAATTAAAAAAAAGGGGAAGAAAAAAAATTGTAAATAAATTCTTTTAATTACCGCATGTATAAACAATATAATTTCATTGTACTCTCTATATTACATTTTATTTTTTATCAACTTGAAAAAATATTAAAATGTAAAGATGGAATACTAATTAAAAAATACTAAAATGTAAAAATGTATTTTTTTTATTTTTACTGAAAAAAAATCGATATTTGAAATTAAGAACCTCTTCAGTTTTATTATCGAAATTGATAACAAAAAAAAAATTCATCAAACTGAAAAAGTATTTAATATTTTTTTTCTTTTTTTTTTTTATTTTTTATTTATCGCAAAATAGTAAAAGAAAAAAATTTTTTTACTGTGAAAGTAAATAGGAAAAATTAATCAGAACAAATACGGAAATTTTCATTCAAATTGAGCTCGAGTCTGTGTACATTTTAATTCAGTTAAACTATTTTTACTCTGGCTCGATGAATAAATATATATATTTCAAAGTAGACGTAAAACAATCCAAATGTAAAAGTCAATATTGCAAATAAACTATATACATTGTAACTGAAATTGTAAAAAAAAATCGTTTCAATTTCGTTAGAAAATCTTTTTTATTTTAGCAAAAAGAACCAATTTTCAACAAATTTTCTCTTATTGAATAAATTGTTACAATGTAATTTCTGCATTTTTCCAATTAACTATTCCTTTTATGTTCCCATTTCTATATTTTAAAATAATATCATGAATAAATCTATCAATTTATTTTATACTAAAAAAGTTAATAATCTTTAAAAGTAATATTAGTTTGAAAAATTCCTAAAATATTCCTAAATACTTTATTCTAATAACAATATTCCAATGGAATATTCATAGGAATATTATTCCAAAGGAACTGCAAAGTTTGGACATTTTAAAATTCCATGGATGGAATATTCCAATATTCCCAAAATTTCAATGGAATATTTCAGGAATGTGAATGGAATATTCTATTCTATTAAATTTTTCTAATATTTCTTTTTATTCTATTTTAATTATTCAAAAAAAATTGTTATCAATTTTTTTTATCAATATTCAGTTGTTATTGTTGTTGAAAAATATTTTTTTTTAAACATAATCATATATATAATATAAATATAAAATATATAAAAACATACAAAAAATATATATACTCACACATACCTCTAAATTCTGGAACAGACAGAAAGCAGATCATAAAGGGAAGTTATGATCTACAAATGTTTAGTTCCACTGGACCAGGTTATCGGATCTGGCGGCGATTGTGAACAATTTGTGCCAGATGACCACTCGTTATCACCGTAAATTTTGTCCATTCTCCAATTCCTTTAACAAAAATTTTTATATATCGTTTTAGTTAAAAAAAAAGAAAAAAGAAAACCTAAGAATCCTCAAAAGCAATAAAATACTAAAATAAATTTTTTTCCAATATCAAATTTTCATTCGTACAATGCAGGGGAATATTTTCTAAATTGGAAATATTAAAATAAATTTTATTCTTCGCCGAATATTCGATGGAAATATGAAAATTTTTACCAATGGGAAAAATAAATTTTAAAATAGAATAAGAATTATCTTAACTATTTTAAATTATCCAAAAAAATGTAGATGGAATATTCCAGAGGTATACTCCAGAAATTTGAATGGAATACTCCAAATGAATATTCCAGAAAAGTGAATGGAATATTCCGTACTATTGGGCGAATGTTCCAAATAAAATATTCTTGAAGTTTAAATGAAATATTTTAAATAACTGTTGAAGAAATTTAAACAAAATATTCCAACAGAACATTCCCAATATTACAATGGAATATTTCCATAATTAAAATGAAAAGGAGAGGTGGAAAAAATTTTTTTTGTATACTTCTGTATAGTTAGGAGAAAAATATAAAAATTTGTCTAAGAGCCAAAAACAGAAATTGTAGTCGAAGTAAAATAAGAAAATGAACACACAACTTT